AATAAGGAGAAGAATTAAATAATAATAATTGATGTCAATTATTATTACTTAATTATAATTATAAAAGCCACAAACTCTTTACTTTTGTAAGAAACAACAAATCAGGAGTTTGTTTGGACATGGGATTCGCAGCCAATCTTGAAGGAGGTGAGGGTCAACGGAGATGAGCCCTTCGGTGATCTGTCTGCGCAAGATTGAAGGAGGTCGGGGTTAACTCCGATGCCGGAATCAGGATTCTGGAGAAGAGAGGAAGAGGGCTCGTTCGCTCAAGAAGGACAGAAGCCGGAGTTGATTTTGTATGGGGAAATCCGAGAAGCCTGAGAGCAGAAGTCTCAATTTCTATCTGTCTTTGTTCGCATAACTTCTTTCGAAATTTTCTAACTATTTTATGTGAATTGAATTTAGCAGTTTCAACTGCAATAGATTGCCAACGTGGGAATATGGCCAGAACGTGGGGAAGACGGTTGGATCTCAACATAATTATATAAATTGATTGTTTGTGTAATTTTTTTAAACTAAACTCTTATCCTCTCTTTTAACAGTGTTTGATTTAATTAATTTGAAAAACACAACATGGTGTTGTTACTTTGTATTTGATTAACAAATATATCAAAATTTTAATATCAAAACTGATTAAAATTTATTAAAATTTTAAAACAGAATTATTGTAATAAATTTCTTTTATGAATTTTCTGTGTCAAGCACACAGCTTCTGATAGAGAGTAGTTAAGGTAATGGACTTTTCTTCAATAGTATTCTTAGCTTCTTTAATTAGTTGCTGATTGTGTAGATGCCAACAAAACTATTTCCATCATACTGGGTATAGCTTCTCCATCAACAATCAAAATGATTTGTTTGTTCTTTTCCTCTCCTTTATAAGTGCCCACAAGGTGTTCGATGAAATGATCCTTAAAATTTGTTGAGCTCCAAATAATATTTCTGCTAATGATTTGTTCTTCAAGCATAGTAATAAAGGAGTTAATTTGATGTTTTAGCAATAGATTTCAAAAAGCTCTCTAGCTGCATGAGCTATAGATTCTTCATCTTTGCAACTCTGCTCAACAGGATCAACCAACTTTGTTAATTCATCAAACTTGGTTGTGTAAATCTTTTTTTTTTTTATCAACATCATCTCCATAAACCATATCTTTTGTATGTTAGACATGTTTTGCGTCAAATGTTTATCCTTTTAGTTTAGAGTAATAAGTTCCTTGTAGTTATTTAATTAGGAATCATCTTGCTGTAGCTAGATTATTTTCCTAAATTATTTGAGTTAATAACTATAGGTAGATGCAAAATAAGCAATTGAATTGGTGCATATATTACTCATGATTATGCTCTTACTATCTCCTTAGAGCTTGACATCTTTCTATCAATACAATACATTGGTATCAGGGAAACCTTGTATTATAATTCATTGATATAATGATTGGTCATTACGAATTGCCGTGGAATTTGTCAATCTATCTTACGCATACATTTTCTTTAAATCCATCTCAAAGAATAAGAGTTATGTTAATATATTTTAAGCCCAAAAAACTGCGCTCCTTGCCTTCCACACATTGCATCAATTTGTTCATTCATCACCAATTAACTCCACATTGGTTTCTTTAGAGAACATTGCAAAAGTGTCGTGAAGGAATTGAAGGTATTTTATAACAATTTATCTCATTTGCATTACCCTCCAATAATGCATTTTACTTTATTTTTTTACTTGACAATAAAAATTGCCTTCTCACCATAGGATGCTAATTTGCTATCTAGCCATGATCAATACATGTAAATGCATAGAATAGCAAACAATTATTCTTCCATGGTATGTTTTGTTCTTTAATATATGACTTGTTACATATACCTTATTTATTTATTCGCACAAATTGCCTCCCAACGAGTTTGTTGGGTGATTTTCAGGTAATAAATTCGTTGTAACGTCCATATATATTTTGATATTTAGTCTCATTCTTTTTAGATTGACCCAAGAAGCTCTACCCTTAAGTTTATTGAACTTGTAGATTTTATTTCTCAACATTTTAGGTAGGTTGATAAAAATTGAGCTCGACCCATAAAATTTGTGAGCTTAAAGGATTTTTTTTATTAGGCCCTTAGGTTAATTGAAACAATGGATTTTAGCTCAACCCTTTTGTTTGTCAGCGTAAAAGACTTAGAAGTTTGGCACTTAAGCTTATTGAACCAATGAATTTTAGCTCGATCCTTAGATTTGTGAGCGTAAAATACTTCAGCAGTTAATTATAATGATAAATCATTAAGTCATTTTGCAGTCTCATGATTCCCTTACATTATTTGGTAAAGGGGTATTTTTATAAAATTGCCTCCTGTATTATAGGAGGGAGTATAAGGTATCTTCTACCTTATATGATGATATAGATAACATTGCTTCTTGTATTTCAAGGAGTATAAGGTATTTTTTTACCTTATAGGATGATATAGATAAAATTGCCTCCGGTATTTTAGGAGGGGTCTATATCAGGTGTTCTTTGCATTGCAAAGGAACATTTAAACTTATATCCTGCATTGCAGGAATATATGTTAATCGTCTCCTATCTTTATGTGAGAGATTTAATATTATCTCCTAGTTCGCAGGGAGATATATAAATTGCCTCATGTATTACAGGAGGAGTTTTCATCATAATATTCTACCAATTAAGAGATTTTGTGTAGTATTTCTTTAAATATTGGCCATTAATTGGTGGTATAGGTCTTTGACCAGAAATATATATAAGTTGGTATGCTCCTCCTTCATATAACTTTTCGATAATGAAGGGTCCTTCCCATACTGGGTTGAATTTACCACCGACTCGGCGATGGGGAATTATGGGTCTTTCACAAACTAGTACAAGTTCACCTTCTTTGAAACTCCTAGGAAGGGCCATTCAATCATGAGCCCTTATTCGAGCTTTATAGATTTCTAAAATTTGTTTTGCTTGGAGTCTAATTTCATCTAAAGCTTCAAGTTCTTCCAACCTTAGAAGATCATTCTCTTCTCGGGTTAGTTCTTATTGTATAGCAATACGAAGCGATGGTAACTCTACCTCGAGAGGTAATATCGCCTACATTCCGAAGACCAGAGAATATGGGGTAGTGTGTGTCGCAGTCTTATAGGTTGTGCGATATGCCCATAAGGCTTCTGTTAGTTTATCGTGCCATTCTCTCTTATTTTTAGAGAGAATTTTCTTGAGCAGTTTAACCAAAGTCATGCTAAATACATCGGCTAAACCATTGGCTCTTGGATTATATATTGAAGACTAATGCCAGTCTACTTTGTCGCATTTGATAAATCAATAGATTTTGTCAATTTTAAAGGTGGTGTTGTTGTCCCTTTGTTAGAAATATCTAGATCACGATGAGCAGCTTGAGTGTTGTCAGCATTGAATATTGGATTTCCAACATTCTTCTCAAAGATTATTATTAGCGACTGACCAGTTATAGCTGTAAGACCAAGCTATCTAAATAATTCTTTCATCATAGTGTTCATCTCATTGAGATGATCATTCAGTTAAGTGATCTCCTTATCCTTCCTTTATTGGAGAGCCTTCATCTATTTCTTCCTCCTCAACCTTTTTTGGTTGTGGATGGTTTTATGTACATGCCTTCTCTGTTCTTGAGCACCTCACAACTGTTCTTCATTTTACAGATTTACAGCTATGTTATGGTGAGTATATACTCCTTGGTTGGGCTATTTAGAAGTATGATCAACCATTTGGATAGTTTCAATATCCAAGGGATCAATTTCCTTCATTTCCCCCACATAATGGTCATCATCAGGAGAAGCCTTTTTATCCTAATGATTTTTATTGTAGTCCTACTCGGCATCATATTCTTCTTTAGGCTAGCTTTGATGTATCCAATAGATTATTGGAGAGTTAGGACTCTTTTCATACATATAGCCTTTCCCTTATCAACAAGGGTAGGCTTGGGAGGGGATTTTTTATCAGAATATGGCCTTTGGTCATAATTCTTCAATGGCATTTTAAATTCTTGGCTCTTGCCCAAGCACACTTAAGCACGAAGACTTTCTAGGAGGTCACCCATCCCAGTACTACTCTCGCCCAAGCACCCTTAACTACGGTGTTCTGAAGGGATCCGGTGCAATGGTGCTGGTATGCTCACACCCGTAATATTAAGTTCTCAAATAATACTTAAGTACACTCCGATATAATGGTGATTTTGGGGCCTCTTCATTCCGGCGGGCCGAAAGTGATCAAAAATGCATTTTTTGACTGCGCGAGCCCGGCCGATGGGCCTAGGGCGCAACGGCACCCCGTCCGGCTCGGAAAGAGGTTTCCAGAATGGGGTCATAGTGCCGAATCAGAGTCTTAGGAGAAACATTATTGCCATTCCCGCGTGGTTGGGTCCTCGGACCTGTCGGTCGCTTTCACTGCTCCCACGATGCAGATTTGTTCACCCAATGCGAGGCGAGCCAACACTATCACTCGTTCGTAGGCTGTGGCGAAGAGCTGCAAAAAAAAAGAAGTTAGTTCATAAAGGGGTGCAACACAAGGACTTCTCAGGAGATCACCCATCCAAGTACTACTCTCTCCCATATACGATTAACTGTGGAGTTTTGATGGGATCCGGTGCACAGGTGCTGGTATGGTCACACCCATAATATTATGTTCTCAAATAATACTTAAGTAGACACCGATGAAATGGTGATTTTGGGGTCTTCATTCCAGCAAGCCGAAGGTGATCGAAAATGCATTTTTTTACTGTGCTAGCCCGGCCGATGTGCCTGAGGTGAATCGGTCCTCCGTCCGACTCATAAAGGCTTTCTGGAATGGGGTCATAGTGCCGAATCGGAGTCCTGGGCAAAAATTTATTTTCATACCGCGCGGTCGGTTCCTAGGACCAGCCTGTCGCCTTCACGGGTCCCACGATATGGATTTCTTCGCCTGATGCGAGGCAAGCCAACACTGCCAGTGGTTCATAGGCTGTGGCAAAGAGTTGCAAAGTGAGAGAGAGAGAGTAGGTTGGTTGAAAAAGGGTTGCAATACGAGGACTATCCAGGAGGTCACCCATCCTAATACTACTCTCGCCCAATCACGCTTAGCTACGGAGTTCTAATGGGATCCGATGTACTGGTGCTGGTATGGTCACAACCGTAATATTATATTCTCAATTAATACTTAAGTAAACTTCGATGAAATGGTGATTTTTGGGGCCTCATCATTCCGACGGGCCGAAGGTGTTTTAAAATGCATTTTTTGACTGTGCGAGCCTACATGATGGGCCTGATATGGCTCGGGAAGAGCTTTTTGGAATGGGGTCATAGTGCCGAATCGGAGTCCTGTTCAAAAGGTTATTGTCATTCCCACGCGGTTAGGTCCTAGTGCCCGCCTGTTGCCTTCACGGGTACCACGATGTGGATTTCTTTGCCCGATGGGAGGCGAGCCAACACTGCCAGTGGTTCGTAGGCTGTGGCGAAGAGCTGCAAAAAAAAAAAAAAAGAGAGTAGGTTGCTTGAAAAAGGTGTGAAATACGAGGACTTCATAAGAGGTCACCCATCCCAGTACTACTCTCGCCTAAGCACACATAACTGCGGAGTTTTGATGGGTTCCGGTGCACTGGTGCTGGTATGGTCGAACCCGTAACATTATGTTCTCAAATAATACTTAAGTAGACTTCGATGAAATGGTGATTATGGGGCCTCTTCATTCCAACAGTCCAAAGGTGATTGAAAATGCAGTTTTTGACAGAGCAAGCCTGGCCGATGGGCCTGGGCGCATCGTCGCCCCGTTCGGCTCGGGAAGAGCTTTCTGCAATGGGGTCATAGTGATGAATCGGAGTCATGTGCAAAAAGTTATTGCCATTCCCAGGCAGTCGTGTCCTAGGACCCGTCCGTCGCCTTCACGGGTCCCACGAAACAGATTTCGTCGCCCGATGCGTGGCGATCCAACACTGCCAGTGGTTCGTAGGCTGTGGCGAAGAGTTGCAAAAAAAAAAAAAAGAGATTAGGTTGGTTAAATAAGGGATGCATTGCGAGGACTTCCCAGGAGGTCACCCATCCTAGTACTACTCTCGCCCAAGCAGGCTTAACTACAGAGTTCTTATGGGATCCGATGCACTGGTTCTAGTATAGTCGCTCCCGTGATATTATGTTCTCAAATAATACTTAAGTAGACTCCGATGAAATGGTGATTTTGGGCCACTTCATTCCGGTCGGCCGAAGGTGATCAAAAATGCATTTTTTGACAGCGCAACCAAGGCCGATCGGCCTGAGGGGCATCGGTTCCGCATCCGGCTCGGAAATAGCTTTCTAGAATGGGGTCATAGTGCCGAATTGGAGTCCTGGGAGAAATGTTATTGCCATTCCCGTGTGGTCCAGTCCTAGGACCCGCCCGTCACTTTCACGGGTCCCACGATGTGGATTTCTTTGCCCGATGCGAGGCAAGCCAACACTACCAGTGGCTCGTAGGCTGTGGAGAAGAGCTGCAAAAAAAAAAAAAAAAAAAAAAGAAAAAAAAAAGAGAGAGAGAGTAGGTTGGTTGAAAAAGGGGTGCAACAAAAGGACATCCCAGGAGGTCACCCATCCCAGTACTACTCTCGCCCAAGAAAGCCTAAATGCGGAGTTCTGATGGGATACGATGCACTGGTGCTGGTATGGTCGCACCCATAATATTATGTTCTAAAATAATACATAAGTAGACTCCGATGAAATGGTGATTTTGGGGCCTCTTCATTTCGGCAGGCTGAAGGCGATCGAAAATGATTTTTTTTGACTGCGCGAGCCCGGCTTATGGGCCTGAGGCGCATTGGTGCACCGTCCAGCTTGGAAGGAGCTTTTCGAAATGAGGTCATAGTGCCGAGTTCGATGCCGAATCGGACTCATTGCAAATAGTTATTGCCATTCTCGCTCGGTTAGCTCCTAGGACACGCCCGTCATCTTCACGGTCCCACGATGCAGATTTCTTCGCCCGATGCAAGGCGAGCCAACACTGCCAGTCATTCGTAGGCTGTGGCGAAGAGCTGCAAAAAAAAAAATAAAGAAAGAAGGTTGGTTGAAAAAGGGGTGCAACACGAGGACTTCCCAGGAGGTCACCCATCCTAGTACTACTCTCGCTCAAGCATGTTTAACAACGGAGTTCTGATGGGATCCGATGCACTAGTGTTGGTATGGTTGCACCCGTAATATTATATTCTCAAATAGTACTTAAGTAGACTCCGATATATTCATGATTTTGGGACCTCTTCATTCCGACAGGCCGAAGGTGATCGAAAATGCATTTTTTGACTTTGCAAGCTTGACCGATGTGCCTAAAGCGCAAAGGCGCCCTGTCCGTCTCGTAAAGAGATTTTCAGAATGGGGTCATAGTGCTGAATCAGAGTCCTGGGTGAAACATTATTGCTATTCCCGGGTGGTCGGGTCCTAGGACCTGCCCGTCGCCTTCACTAGTCCCACGATGCGGATTTTTTTGCCCGATGCGAGTCGATCCAACTCTGCCAGTCGTTCGTAGGCTGTGGCAAAGAGCTACAAAAAAAAAGGAAGGTTGGTTGAAAAAGGGGTGCAACACAAGGACTTCCCAGGAGGTCACCCATCCCAGTACTACTCTCGCCCAAGCACGCTTAAATGCAGTGTTCTGATGGGATCTGATGCACTGGTGCTGGTATGGTCACAACCATAATATTAAGTTCTCAAATAATACTTAAATAGACTCCGATATAATGGTGATTTTAGGGTCTCTTCAGTCCGGTGAGCCGAAGGTGATCGAAAATGTATTTTTTGACTGCGCAAGCCCGGCCGATGGGCCTAAGGCGCAACAGCCCCCCGTCCGACTCGGAAAGAGCTTTCTGGAATGGGATCATAGTGCCGAATTGGAGTCATGGCTGAAACATTATTACCATTCCCGCATGGTCGGGTCCTATGACCCGCCCATCGCCTTCACGTGTCCCACGATACGGATTTCTTTGCTCGATGCGAGGCGAGCAAACACTGCAAGTCATTCGTAGGCTGTGGGGAAGAGCTGCAAAAAAAAAAAAAACTGCAGACTATGATGACTTCAAATCAATTTGGGCATATGATAGTTTGTAATTTGAAGCTTGTACTTTTCATTATTTAGTTTGAAAGGGAGTGATGATAAATTGAGTTAAAAAAAGCACACACACACTTGGGGAAATCCTTAAAATTTTGTACTTATCGTACTGAACGTACTCCGTTCGTACGGAAAGATCAAGAAAGTTATCCCCTCGGAAGAGCAATGGAACGAACAGGAAGTGAGAAATTTTTCTAAGTCCTGATTGTTCGGACAAAATTCCATATTTGTCCCTGGACGAACTCCTATGTATTCTCACTTTACACTGTTTGTCCAGACAAAATGTATGAATCGTCCCTAGAAAAAATCCTATGGATTTCCATTTTGTTATGTTCATCCAGACGAAGTCCTAGTTCGTCCCTGAATGAACTCCTATGGATATCAAGTTAATACTATTCGTCGAGTCGAAACACTTTACTCGTCTCTAGACGAAGTCCTCTAAACAAATTTCATCCCATACGAACCTACATTCGTCCCAGGACGAAGTGATCTGGCTCATGAATTTTTGGCAACGTCCTACAGTTTTCAGAACCGACCTATGGTATAATCATTCGTACCGGACAAACATAGTTCATATGGGACGATGCTCGTGTATGAAGTCAATTCGTACCAATATATATTGGGTTCGTTTCTAACTAATTTAAGTAAAATCATCCAGGATGATCCACGATCGTACGGGGCGATCGACTACTCACAAACTTGAATTTCAGCAGTCTTTGGAAAGTTTTTTTGTGTCTTTCCTATATAAAGTCCTATCAAAACTGCCACTTAATCTTTTTTCCTATTGATCTTCGTGCTAATTCAAAGGAGAGTCAAAGAGAGAGTGTAATAGATTGTTTGAAGGAGGATTCTTCCTACTAGAGCGTAATGATTTCACTTGGTACTTAAAGGTAAAAATCTCTACTTGTGGATTGTAATTACTTCACTCTTTTCTCTCTTCCTTCTAGATTTCTTGTGAAGAAGATCTGTCAAGGAGATCCGGTTCTCTGCCGACACTTGGAGAGTGTGAACAGCCGAAGGGTTCTCTGCCTGCACTTGGAGAGTGTGAACAACTAAAGGGTTCTCTGCCCACATTAGGAGAGTGTGAAAGTATGGAAGGTTCTCTGTCTACACCGAGAGAGTGTGAAAGGACGGATGGTTCTCTGCAAACATTGGGAAGAGGGTAAAAGGACTACGGTTATCTACTGCACCGGGTAGTGGTGAAAGAGAGTTTTATTAAAGGCTTCTCCGCCTTGTTGTTGGTGCAAAAGGAGAGTCACTAGTGGTATTAGTGCAATACTCGGAGGGTGCCTCCGGGGAGTGGATGTAGGTCGTGTTTGACCGAACCACTATAAATCTTGTGTCTTTTTATTTTCTGCTACTTTTGTTTTACTATTTTTAAATTGTTTTTGAAAAACCTTTTCTAGAAAAATTCACTAAAGTTAATTTTCTCGGTTCTAAATTCTGAAGAGGGATAAAATTTTTTAATTACCAATTCACCCCCCCCCCCTCTTGGTTAGCCACTGGGACATAAGCTTAGGTTTAATAACCTAATTCATATTGAACAAGTTTCAACAATTGGTATCAGAGCTTAGTTTCAAAATCATAAGTTTAGACTACTTTTTTATTAACATAGATGGCTACTTTTGAAAATTCAAATACACCTTAGAGTTACTCTATAACTAGACCTCCATTGTTTGACAATATTCCTTTTAATTTTTGGAAAACATGCATGTCTACATTTTTATAATCACTTGATTACCATATGTGGATCTTAGTTCAGGAAGGGTATACAAAACCAACTAGACTAGTTGACGGAGTTAGAGTTGAAACACCTTTTGTGGACTCGATAGTAGAAGAACGTGGCTTAGCACAACTAAATGCCAAATGCTTGAATAGTTTCTTTTGTGCTTTAATATCAGAAGAATACATGTTGGTTTCTACTTGCAAGAGTGGAAATGACATATGGGATAGACTTTGTATAACGTATGAGAGAACTAACGAGGTTAAGCAATTTAGACTTAATATCTTGTTTCATGATTATGAACTATTTCGCATGAAATCTAATGAATCCATTTCTGATATGTACACAAGATTCACACAAATAGTCACCTCTTTACATGCATTGGGTAGGGAACTAACGAATGCTGAAATGGTTAATAAGATTCTTCGTTGTTTGTCTACTGCTTATGATGCTAAAATTACTGCAATAACAGAGTCTAAATATCTAAACATTTACTCTATTGACAATCTTCTTAGTTCGCTAATTTCTTACGAGCAAGGAGTTAGCCAAAGAAAGATTTATTAAGATGAACCATGAAGGGAGAAGAACATAGCAGTGAAAGTGGAAGAGTCTGAGAGTGAACACTCACAACCTGAGGATGAAGATTATATCGTATTGATGACTAGACAATTCAAAAGCTTTCTGAAGTGGAAGCAGAAGAGACGCCAACAATGGAATAGAGGTAAATTTAATAGAAATACCAAGGTTTTAAATGATGTGATTTTCTATGAGTACAGAAAACCTAGACATAATAAGACAGACTGCCCAAAACTTAAAGCCACTCCTAGCAACAAGATGGTAGAAGAGAAATCATTTGTGAAGAAGGGCAAGAAGAAGTTCCAAAGAGCATTTTGGGCGGATTCTGCTTAAGACTCGTCATAGAAAAAAAAGGAAGAGGAAGTCACTAATTTGTACTTAATGGCCGACAATCTTGATCAGATAAATCAAGAAGAGGTATGTGACTTAACTTATGATGAGCTTTTTGAAGTTTCTGAACACATGCATGATGCATATAGGAAAATGAAGAAAACATTTGCTATTCTAAGTTTAGAATTTGAGGAACTACAAAAAGAATATGAAATCCTTAGGAAAGATCATGCTTTAATTGATGACAACCACATGAAATTACTTGATGAGTTTGATGACTTGAATAAGAATCTTGAGAGTTTAAAATAATCCTATGCAGAACTTGAAAAAGATTTAAATAATGTTAAGGATAAATCAGAGAGCAAATTTTATAGATCAAATTATATAAATCGAATTTTGAAAGATATGAATTCATTTTATATTTTGAAGATAAAAGCTCTCGAGGATAATAGGATACCTCCAAAACTTTAAGATTTCACTAATCCTATTTTGTATCCTAAATTTATGCAATCCCTAAATAGACAGATAAATGGTAGAAGACTTAGGAATCCTTTTCCAAAAGTAAAATGTAACAATTGTCAATTGATTGAACATATAGCTCACACCTGTACTTTGAAGATGAAAAACTATTTGGTGTGGAAATCTAAAATGCATAAAATTAGACATATCATACATGTATCTATTTATAAATTTCCAAAAGGTGAACCTAAACTTGTTTGGGTTCTTAGGTCTAACGTGAGAGCATATAGTACCTGAACAGTGGATGCTCAAAGCATATGACTGGAGATACTGCACAATTCATAGGGCTAAAAGCTAGAAGTGGAGGCAAGGTTACACTTGGAGATAACACCACAAGAAAGGTGATTGGGACAGGTATGATTGGAAATATTAAGAATTTTTACATTGAAAATGTTTTATTGGTAGAAGTCTTAAAGCATAATTTGTTAAGTATAAGCCAGCTATGTGACAAAGGATATTGTGTAAAATTTTTTCCTACTAGCTGCATATTAAGCCTAAATGGAAATGATGTTTTGAATGGTAAAAGGGTAAACGATGTTTATATGCTAGACTTGAATTACATTCATACTTCTACTGCTTTTTGTTTAAAAACTATTTATAATGTGTCATGGCTTTGGCATAGAAGACTTTGTCATTCTAGCATGAAAAATTTTAGGAGGATTACCTAAAAGAATATAGTGAGTGGTATACTAAAACTAGACTTTACTAAGGACCACCTCTGTGATGCATGTCAAATAGGAAAGCAAGTGAAGTCCTCTTTTCAATCTAATAACGATCTTAGAACTAGTAAACCATTGGAGATTTTGCATATGGATCTTTTTGGACCAGTTGGAACTGGGAGTCTAGGAGGGAAGATATACGGATTTGTGATTGTGGATGATTACTCAAGATTCACATGAGTTAGATTTCTATTTCATAAGAGTGAATCATTTGAGGAACTGTGAAATCATGATTATACAAAGTGATCATGGATGAGAATTTAAAAATAAAATATTTGAGGATTTTTGTAAGGAGAAAGGAATTGATCACAACTTTTATGCACCAAGAACCCCTCAGCTAAATTGGACAGTCGAAAGAAAAAATATAACATTAATAGAAGCCGTCCGAGCAATGTTCAGAATACTCACTTCCATAATATTTTTGGGCTAATGCGGTTAGCACAACATGTTATGTTCTAAATATGGTGAATGTGAGATCTAATTTAAATAAAACACCCTATGAGTTGCTAAAATGAAGAACACATAATTTGTTTCATTTGTATGTTTTTGGTTGCAAGGTGTTTATACATAATAATGGAAAATCTGACATAGAAAAATTTGATCCAAAATCAGATGTAGAAATTTTTATTGGATACTCAAGTGTTGTAAAATCTTATAGAGTGTTCAATAGAAGAACTTTGGTTATTAAGGAGACCACATATATTATTTTTGATGAATCTGG